CCTATTTTGCTTTTTCTATAGCACCTCTAACTCTGATCATAAGTTTTAAAAGTATACCAAATGGGGGAAACAATTAAATCTTCTTAGTCATTTGCCCTGGTTCAGATTTTTGGAATATTTGCAAATTTGTGAGTATGTAGCATTAATTTTCTCTTATTCTTAACATAAAAGATTAGAGTTGTCACCAGGTGTCTCATTTTTATTGTTGAGGCCTGATTACAGTACTCATAGTTTCATATAGTACTTTAAATCAGCATTTGGTATATTAAAACAAAGAAGCAAAAAAAAGTATTTTTCTAGACATCTAAATCTAAATTTCTTACATGTTTAAAAAATATTCAGTGACCCAGTAAGTATCACATGCTCAGGTTAATTTGTACCTGTGGTTCTCACACTTTAAGTGAACTTGTTGTAACACAATTGTTGGATCCTGCCCCCAGTTTTTGATTCAGTGGGTCTGAATTAGGCCCTGGAATTTGCATTTCTAACAAATCCTTAGGTGTTGCCGATATTGTTGGTCCACACTTTGAGAACCACTGATTTATTTCATTGCTTTTGTTGTTTAACACTATTGATTATTAAAGTTAAGAGGTAAGTAATACGATTTTCTACTCTTACCATAAAGATTTACTACTCCTGAATTTGCAGATATTTGGCTTATGATTTTGAACTTTGAGCATTAAAGATAAGTAGTGTTACATGTAGCAAGAAACAAATACCAGATGGATCACTAAATAAATGTACTTTAGTATATTTCTGATACATGAATAACATTTTGACATTGACTTCCCATCTAAAATAGAAGGAACATTCTGATAGAAATAATGTAGCCTTCTTTAGTAATAAAAATAAAAATATAGCAAGCCTCTTAGAGAAATCACTGCCTTAAATCTCTTTTGGGATATGTTGGGATACAAAAGTAACAGATAAGCTCTACTTAAAGAAATACAGCTTTGATAAAATATTAATATTTAAAGCATTACCATTATGTGTAGTATTTTAGAAAATCTCAATAGTGTAGAAAATGAGGTCAAACATAGTTGTAGATTTTTCCTATATTCTGTTCACAATTATTTATTAATTTAATGGATTGGTGTTGTTAATCCACTTAAAAATATGTTTCAAGCCTTCAACAGTGCTGAGCTTTTAAAATATGAGCCCCCCCCCCCCCTTTTTGGTTTAAACTTGGAATTTATTGTCAGATAGGAAATTGAGTCACAGAAAAATCTTTTTCCCGCAAGGTTACAAGGTTGACAAAGCAGTCAAGTTTTTACTTGAATCTAGGCCTCTGACTTTAAGTTCAACTATCTTTTTTGCCATACCACGTAGGAAGTAATACCCTAGAAACCTCAGAGGAGCAATTTAAGGATCAAAGGAAAAATATAGGTGAAATTGCCTTATAATATGTAAGAAGTTGTATAAAAATAAGCTTGTCTAAAATGCTATTTAATCCATCGAGTACTTACTTTGTGCCTAGAACTGTATTAAATGATGTGGGAGAGTAAATGAAGCAAGTGCATAACAGTTCTTGCCTTTAAGAAACATCTGTTTGGAGAGGCAGATCGAACACTAGAACAACTGGTAAATAATTGTTAAACTTTGTAGTGTTGAGTTTAAGTATGCAATAGAGATTTGGAGAATGGAGGGGTCATGGTGGTTTAGAGTGCTCAGGGAAGGATTCCTGGAGGAAAGGGGCCTTGAACTGGGCATAAAAGATGGATAGAATTTAGATAAGAGGGGAAGCTGAACAATTATTCTAGGTACAGAGGTGAGAATGAGGATGGATTAGGTAGGAAACAGTAAGGAAACTATAATAGAGGACATCTTGGTCATCTTGGGACCTCTGTTGGGTGCAGAAGATTAAATTTGATAAGGATGAAACTATAAAGTGGGGAACCCTTAAAAATTAGGGAGATGCATTTGGACTTGACCTATAAAAAGAGGAGCCATCTTGAATTTGGGGATTTCTGAGCTTTAAGTGGTGTTTTGAAAAATAATTCTGGAGAAAACATGCAGGATAGATTAAAGAGGGGGAGAAGATTAAATAAAAGGATAATAGGAAAGGTGATTATAACTCATGTCTGAGGTAATGAGGGTCTGACTAGACTGATAGAAGTAGGAGTAGTGATGCAGAATGAATCTAAGGCCCAATTAGAAGGAAGAACAAACAGATCCATTTAAAGATTAGATTTAGGGGATGAAGGGGAGTGAAAATGATAGAGAGAGAGGGAGAGAGGTGGTACAGAGAGGGAAGAGAAAGAACGAAAGAGATAAAAGATTTTGTGAATGTTCACTGGAGATTTAAATAAAATATGTCATACTACTGATAGGAATGAAGTTTAAAAGATTTGGGGAGAATGAAAAGCACAAAGTTTGATTTTTAAAATATGAGGTGAAAAAATGCAAGGGAGTACTTTTTTTTAATCCTCACCTGAGAACATTTCTCAATTTTTTTGTTCAGATAGAGTGGGAGGGAGAGAGAGGAAGGGGGAGAGAGAAAGAAACATCGACGTGAAAGGGACACATCAAGTGGCTGCCTCCCACATGACCTAACCAGGGCCGGGGACAAACTGCAACTGAGGTGCGCGCCCTTAGCATAAACCGAACCCAGGTCTTTCCGGACCGCAGAATGACGCTCTAACCGCTGAACCAAACCGGCCAGAGCAACAAGGGAGTACTTTTGAGATGACTAATGATTCATTGGAATCATTCACATTGTAGTCACTAGATAGAATTTTGGATCTGGAAGTAAATTTAGAGTTAAAGTAAAAAAGTAGATCCAGAAACATCAAGCTGTTTGTCTGCAATCCCATGACTACCTATTAGTAGGTGTGTTAATATCAACTAATTCTCAATCTGTTGCTCTTGAATTATTATCTGTGTGCCTATAGCAGGGTCCTAAATACCATCAAGGACTAGGGGAGTGAAGTAAATTAATTTAATATTCAACGGATATTTACTTAATAGCTGATATTTCTGTAGTATATCAGGCTCTGTCCTAGGTGCTGAAGACACAGCATGGCCAAGACAGGTGAGATTGTACTCTTACAAAATTTGTATTTTAAAGGAGGAAAATAATAAAGTTAATAGATAATTAATAGATACATTTTTGTAATGGTGAAGAAAGTAAAGCAGGATGGTGTGCTGAAGAGGGACGGAGTATGGTGCATACTGAAGAGTTAACATTTGAGTTGAGTGAGGCATGAAAAATATGACATTCTGTGTAAATGTGAAGATAGAACATTCCGGACAGAAGGAATAGCAAGTATATAGGAATATATTTGGTATATTTTTGAAGCAAAAGAAGATATAGTCAGTGTCTATTATGTGTCAGATACAATGCTAGGCTCTGGGGGATAAAAAAGTGAACAAAACAGCAATGCTGGTGCCCAAAGCTGGATGGCAACATGTCTAGATTTACACGATCTGGTAGACATTTCTGTTGGTAAATGGATGTATTTTATATAAATGATAAACAATGTAAACATATAATTATCATTTTTCTTATTTTATTTTTTCCCCATAGCCTTTGCCAGATAATATGTAAGCCTAGCACAGATATTATCTTTTCTATAACAGTATCCTTAAGTCCTGTGAATAGAATTAATTGCTTTCTAAATTAAATTTTTTTTTTCTTTATTGATTTTTAGAGAGAGAGAAAGGGAGAGGGAGAGAAAGATAGAAACATCGATGAGAGAGAACATCAGTTGGCCGCCTCCTGCATGCCCCCCCACTGGGGATCTGGCCCACAACCTGGGCATGTGTTCTGATGAAGAATTGAACTAGCGACCTCTTGGTGCATGGGTCAACACTCAACCAGTGAGCCACACCGGCCGGGCATTAATTGCTTTCTTATTTGTATTTTCTATAGGTACTTTGTATATGCTTCTATTTTAGTGCTTATCACACTGTTGGTTTCTGTGTCTGGCTCTCCAACCAGGTTGTGAGCTCATATCCTGAGAAATTCACATAGTGCTCTGCATATGCTAAGAACCTAATTAAAGTGTATTTGATCATCTGCTCTGTGCAATTTATCATAAATGTTTTTGAGGACTAACATTGTTCAAAGAGTGGTTCTGTGCTCACTTTGTATTTATTAGTTAATGGACATTTTGGGTTGTTTCTACTTCTTGGCTTTTATGAATAATGCTCCTATGAACATTCATGTACAGTGTTTTTTTGAGTACCTAGGAGAGGAATGTGGCTCATATGGTAACTGTGTTTAACCGTTTTTTGTTTTTTTTTAATCCTCACTTGAGGACATTTTTGCATTTATCTTCAGACAGGGTGGGAGGGAGAGAGGGAGGAAGAAAGAGAGAAACATCGACGTAAGAGAGACAAATCGAGTGGTTGCCACCCACACAACCCCAACCGGGACCGGGGACAAATTGCAACTCAAGCACATGCCCTTAGCAGGAACCAAACCCGGGCCTCTCTGGTCCATGGGCCGGCGCACTAACCACTGAGCAAAACTGGCCAGGGTTGTGTTTAATCTTTTAAAAAATATATGTTTTTGTTTATTTAAGAGAGAGGAAGGGAGAAGGAGAGAGAAATAGAAACATTGAGGAACTTTGTTGGGTTTAAAGATTGCATTGCTATTAATTAATATTTACACCATCCTTACAAAGTGCTTTATATCAAGGCATAGTTTAGGAGGCACAGTGTTTATCTCAGCCTTGGTATAAAACAGTTAGTGAAGGGCCAAGCCTTGACTGAAGCATTAGGAACCCAGCCTTTAGGAGACCGATGTTGGGGGAGGAAATGTAGTCCTCAAGGGGACTATGGTAACAGAAAAGACTCAGTCACAGAGAAATGAAATTCAGTCATTTTCTTTGCTAAGTGCTTTGTATATCAAGATCAGAATAGGAGTAATGACAAAACTTATTCACTGTTAAATGTGGAGGATTATGGGATACATGTTGTTATAACTGTGCTTTACTGGAAAAACCTAGATTAAATACCCTCCCCCCCCTTTTATATTATAGGAAATAAATGTTAGCATGGAGAATGATTTTAAAACTGACTCATCATCATCTACCTTTGCTCTTCAAAGTTCTTCAGAGACATTGTTTTCTATTCAGCTATTAGATTTCAGAACAAGTTTACTGGAAGCTTTGGAAGAATTACGTATTCGAAGGGTATGTACCCTTTTAAAATGCTATTTTAATCAGAGAACTTGATTTGTCCATTTTCTTTGTTTAAGAAAAAAAAAATAGACCTAACAAAATAACTTATTTGTTTATTTATTCTTAATCCTCACCAGAAGATATTTTCCCATTGATTTTTAGGTAGAGTGGAAGGGAAGGTGGGAGAGAGCGAGAGAGGAAAGAACATGGAAGTGAGAGAGACACATTGATTGGTTGCCTCCCGACCAACCCTGACGGGGGCCAGGGATGGAAACTGCAGTCCAGGTACATGCCCTTTGGTCCATAGGCCAACACTCTTAACGGCTGAGTCAAACCAGCCACGGCAACAAAATAACCTTTTATTTGGAAAGAAGAAATATGGTCCAAATAATGAAGCAGAAAAGAAAAGGATAGATTTAGTTGACGTCAGGGAATGGGAAAGAAGGAGAATTTATAAACCAAAGCAAAAAATATAGTACATTTTTAGATTGTTAGGTACTTTATAAATCAGCTAATATTTATTGAGTGCCTTGAAATGCATAGATAACACTATAGTTAGACACTATGGATTAGAAAAACCTGTTCTTTAGGAGATTACATTTTTTATTAAGGTTATGAATTAGGTACCTATGAAATGATTAAATGATGAAACAAGGCAATACATGATTAAGTGACAAAATAAATGTATATAGTAAGTATTCTGAGCTCAAAGAATAAAATATTCTAAGTTTTAAAGTGATAACCTTGAGATTTTTATCTAGTATAAAATTGTAAAAGATCTTTCATTTAAGCAAGAGACATATATTGTTCATAACTGCCTAAAAATATTTCATTTCTGAGACTCTGGTTGTAAATTTAAAGAGTATGTTGTCAACTCTCCAAGATAGTTTGGAGTTGGTAAGATTTTAAAGAGAGAAAAATAAACTCTAAAACTGCTGTAATGATCTAGAGATGGAGGTCACTAGGACTTCTATATAACTATGAAGATAGAATAGAAGAGACAGAAAGAAGAGTCAATAGAATTTGGTGACTTCCTGAAAATGAGCTGTTAAGTGAGGGGGAAAAAAGAGATGTGAAACAACATTTTTATCATATGAACCTTGTTCTAGGATTTAAAAATATTGAAATTTGTTGTTATAATAAGAAAATTTAATTACCACAATGTTCATCCTATCTAAAGCTTATTATCAAAATAACAAAAGTCTGTTTAACAAAGAAGAAATTCTGCTTAAAAAGGATATCTGGAGAAGCATTAAAAATAACTAATTTTTGTAAAATTTGCTTAAAATGATATCTTTTCTAAGTGAAGCAACTTTAGATAACTTTAAATTTTTTTTTTATCCTTACCCGAGGACATTTCTCCATTTTTTATTCAGGTAGAGTGAGAAGGAGAGAGAGGAACAGAGAGAGAGAGAGAGAGAGAGAAACATCGACATGAAAGGGACACATTGAGTGGCTGCCACTCGCACGACCAACCAGGGCTGAGGACAAACTGCAACCGAGGTACATGCCCTTAGCCGGAATTGAACCCAGGTCTCTCTGGACCACAGGCCGACACTCTAACTGCTGAGCCAAACCGGCCAGGGCAACTTTAAATTTTTATATTCTGTTTTGTTATGTTTCAAACATTGGATTTTGTTCTGTTTATATTTCCAATTGAGAAATAAGCTTCCTTAAAAGTCTTTTTAAAAATTTCAGGGTAGCAACAGAAACAGTGTTTTTTAAAAAATCTTTGTTTTTTTTTTTGTTGTTGTTGTTCAGGTAGAGTGGGAGGGAGAGAGAGGGTGAGAGAGAGAGAGAGAGAGAGAGAGAGAGAGAGAGAGAGAGAGAAACATCGACGTGAAAGAGACACATCAAGTGGCTGCCACCCACACAACCGACCAGGGCCGGGGACAAACTGCAACGGAGGTACGTGCCCTTAGCGGGAACCGAACCCGGGTCTCTCAGAACCGCAGGCCGACGCTCTAACCGCTGAGCCAAACCGGCCAGGGCTAAAAATCTTTATTGTTGAATGTAGAATGTATTACAGATGTTCCTCATTTTTCCCCCATTGACCCCCTCCTCCCCACTCCCGCCCCCCTCCCGCCTTTTCTCACACTATTGTCTGTGTCCATTGGTTATTCATATAAGTTCTTTGGTTTATTTCTTCCCACCCCCCAACCCCTTTCCCTTTGAGGTTTGTCAGTCTAGCAATGAATTTGTGCTTCTTAATCCCTTCACCTTTTTCACCCATTCCCCCAACCCCCCTCCCATCTGGCAACCAACAAAATGTTCTCTGTATCTATGAGAATGTTTCTGTTCTGCCTGTTCATTTTGTTTGTAGATTCCATTGTCAACAGATATGTATTCATTGCCATTTTGTTTGTTCATATATTTTATCTTTTTCTTCAAAAAGACCCTTCATCATTTCATATAATAATGGTTTGGTATGATGAACTCCTTTAACTTTTTCTTGTCTGGGAAACTCTTTATATGGCCATCAATTCTAAATGACAGCTTTGCAGGATAGAGTAATAGAGTAATCTTGATTGTAGGTTCTTGCTTTTCATCACTCTGAATATTTCTTGCCACTCCCTTCTGGCCTGCAAAGTTTCTTTTGAGAAATCAGCTGACAGCCTTATGGGAACTCCCTTGTAGGTAACTAACTGCTTTTCTCTTGCTGCTTTTAAGATTCTCTCTTTGTCTTGAACCTTTTGCATTTTGATGATGATGTGTCTTGGTGTGGGCCTCTTGGGGTTCATCTTGTTTGGAACTCTCTGTGCTTCCTGGACTTGTATGTCTGTTTCCTTCACCAAGTTAAAGTTTTCTGCCATTATTGTTTCAAACAGGTTTTCGATTTCTTGTTCTCTCTCTTCTCCTTCTGGCACCCCCAAGATGCGAATGTTGGCACGCTTGAAGTTGTCTCAGAGGCTCCTTACACTATCCTCATTTTTTTGGATTCTTTTTTCTTTTTGCTGTTCTGATTGGGCATTTTTTGCTTCCTTATATTCCAAATCGATGGTTTGCTTCTTGGATTTACGTACTCTACTATTGAATCTGTGTAAATTATTCTTTATTTCAGTTAATGCCTCCTTCATTTCTGACTGTGCATCCATCATTTCTGACTGGTCCTTTTTTATGCTCTTGAGGCCCTCACTAAGTTCACTGAGGTTCTCACTAAGTTCATTGAGCATCCTTATAAGCAGTATTTTGAACTCAGTATCTGTTAGGTTGCTTATCTCCATTTCGCTTAGTTCTTTTCTTGGGGTTTTGTTCTGTTCTTTCATTTGGGACCTGTTTCTTTGTCTCCTCATTTTGGCTGGGTCCCTGTGTTTGTTTTTGTGTATTACTTAATGAGAGGTATGGGGCTATCTGAGACCAGATGCTGCTTGTTTGGAAGAATTCAGGAAAAACCCGAAGCAGTATCCAAGAACGGCCAATCCTATGATTAAGCAACTGGCAACAGCTTGGGTGAGCCTGAAAGTTGGGTGGGGCGGGGCCCTCAAGGAGTCACCAGGGCCGGGCAACCAGTGTGAGCCAGGTTGCTGGAGTCTCTGATATGGCTGCTGTCTGCCGCCCCAGGGATTGGCTCACCAAAGGAACAAAGGCCTCTGACAGCATGTTTGTCCCGGAGAAAGCCCCCTCTCCAGCCCTCACTCCAATGCCAAACAGCTCAGTTCTTCCCTGTATGTCTCTCGTGCCCCTCGAGTTGCCTCTCCTCCGAGCTTAGAGGGAGTGAGTCCGATAAGTCTGTGTGCGGGCCCTTTAAGGAAGTGCTTGGGGCTCCAGCGGCTTCAGCTTTCCTGAGCCTCAGTTCCTGCTGGTTTTTCCAGCCAGAAGTTATGGAGTCTTCTCTTCCTGGCACTGGAACCCTGAGCCAGGCACCTGGTGTGGTACGGGGACCCCTCAGTCCTCACTTCCCTGCTGAGGTGTCCTCCTGATTTTTATCTGCCACACGTGGGTGTGGGACCTGCCCGTCACCCCTCCGCCCCTCCTACCAGTCTAGATGTGGCTGCTGCTTTAATTTCGTAGTTGTAGGACTTCCATTCAGCTAATTTCAGGCGGTTTTGAATGATGGTTGTTCTGTAGTTTAGTTGTAACTCTGATGTGGTTGTGGGAGGACACGATACTGCGTTTACCTATGCCGCCATCTTGACCGGAAGTTCAGGAACAGTGTTTTTAATAACCAAATGCAGGTGCATATACTACTTTTAATAACATTCCTCATTGAAAGAACTTTATTCTTAAAAAGGGGATATTTTTTCTCTCATTGGGTAAAGATATTCATTGATTTTCACATTTACTATAATGATAGCACTTGATCCATATTGTTGGATTTTATTTTATTTTATTTTTATCCTCACCCGAGGACATTTTTCCATTTTTTTGTACAGATAGAGTGGGAGGGAGAGAGAGGAAGAGAGAGAGAGAGGGAAACATCGATGTGGAAGGGACACATCGAGTGGCTGCCACCCGCATGACCAACCAGGGCCAGGGACAAACTGCAACCGAGGTACATGCCCCTAGCGGGAACCGAACCCGGGTCTCTCCGGACCGCAGGCGAACGCTCTAACCGCTGAACCAAACCGGCCAGGGCCATATTGTTGGATTTTAATCTCCCCCAAATATTATAAGGAAAAGTCTAAAAATATATAATAGTTAAAAGAATTTTACACTGAGCATCGAAAAACCCACTCTGGTAGGCAGAATAATGACACCCTGATGAAGTCCTCAGAACCTCTGAATATGTTACCTTACACAGCAAAATGGGACTTTGCAGATGTGATCAAGTTATGAATTTTGAGATAGGATTATGCTGATTTTTTCACGTGGGCCCGGTGTATTCACAAGTATTCTTGTAAAAGGAAGGAAAAGCCCTGGCCAATTTAGCTCAGCGGTTAGAGCATTGGCCCACGGACCAGAGAGACCTGGGTTTGGTTCCCGCTAAAGGCATGTACTTCGGTTGCAGTTTGTCCCCAGCCCTGGTTGGGGTCATGTGGGTGGCATGCAGTTGATGTGTCTCTCTCACATGC